CTGGGACATGCCAATTCAAACTGACAGGGAAATAAAAGCCAACAGACCTGATATTATCATAAAAGATTACAAATTCAGGAAGTGTATTCTTATTGACATAGTAGTACCATCTGAGAGAAACACCTCCATAAAAATTATCGAGAAATTGTCCAAATACAAGGATCTGGAAATCGAGTTTACAGGATGTGTCGAATGAAGACTGAGGCTGTAGCAGTAGTAATCGGGATTCTGGACATCGTGATAAAAGTAGTGGACAATTTTACTAAAAGTGTCCACACAGAGGATCGCCCTACCAGGAACATACAATATACTAAGAAAGGTGCTATCAATTAAATGACAATTCTCCGATAGGGACTAAGAACCATATTGTGGACCTGACTCTAGAGGTTACAAATGAGGAAACATAACATACACAAATAATTATGATAATAACTTAGAAAATGCTTTAAAATTACGAGGATTTTACGTGTTTGTTAGGTCAGTAAAATTTCTATCAAAAACTGCTCAATAGAGCTATAATCATACTTATTATAAAACCCAGGCTGTGTGTGTGTGTGTGTGTGTGTGTGTGTGTGTGTGTGTGTGTGTGTGTGTGTGTGTGTGTATATTGGATCGGATTTCCTACATTTTTCAACCGATTTCAACAAAACTTCACAGAACTACGTAAAATTACCTTGCGGTGATTCTGACAGCGCCCAAAATGGGAAAAACACAATTGTTTTTACACGAAATCGATTTGAAAACACGATTAAGAGGCATCGCTTTCGCGGAATGAAAGGGGTACAACTCATATCGAGTTATACTTATTATAAAACCCAGGTTATTTGTGTGTGTGTGTGTTCGTTTATATATGGGATCGGATTTCCTACATTTTTCAACCGATTTCAATAAAACTTGACTTTTATTTTTGGCAGGTAATGTTTCTTATTGTCTTGCACACTTTTTTCTTGATTTTTACATTCAGAATGCTTTAAAAATTCCATTTACAAGCCAATCGATTATAATAAAATTCTATTCAATCGGTAGATTCATAACGATTGAAAACAATGTCTTTGTTTGAGATTGGGTTTGACCAATTCGTAAAAAAAAATAAAAATAAAATAAAACTAATTAAAACATGCGTGTCCGTCAACCTTAAACAATAATCTTTGTCAATTTTATTTTTCAGTCTTTATGATGGTCGATACTTGATCTAGCTCTTACTGTTACACCCCCGGGCAACGCCGGGCTATACTGCTAGTATTTAATAAATTCAGAAAAGTGAGGTGACTTATCTGGTTAACCGACTCAAACGTTTCGAGGAAATGCTCATTGATGCCAGATATTTTATTTCTTATGAGTGTTTCATCGCAAAACGTTTAATCGACTAAAGAGATATGCTGTTGATCCCTAGTGAATTTATTCAATAACATTAGAATTAAAGAATAAATTTATCAGCTTGCATAATAGATGCAAAGATGTTGTTTCATATCAGGACATCTAGCAAAATTTTAGTGAATGTGCCACCTGAAAACCGCCGTCGATACACTATGGACTAAGCTCAAGCAATGAGGACAATATGTCATCTTTAAAACGTTTACTGTGTCAAGAAAAATAAAACAAAGACGAAGCTATAAGTCGAAATAAAATGTCATACAATTAATTAATCTCAGAACATCAGACAATTTATTTCTGATGATTTTAGACGTTATCAGATGTAGATTCAGCCTTAATTTTTAAACATTTATTTAAAATATAAAAATTCGAATTAGACAGAGGACCCAAAACAGCATGGTTGCATTAGTTTCATACATCAATACGATCTTACTTACACACGCACATATATATATATATATATGTGCGTGTGTGTGTGTGCGTGTGCGTGTGTTTGTAAAAATATATATATATATATATAGATAGATAGATAGAAAGAAAATTTTAAAACAAATCACGTTTTTATATTATTATCTAAATCTGCACGTTCAATCTTTTGGAATATTGAGCCCTTTTTGAAATATCCGTCAATTAATTAATCGACTCGGTCTTAACTAAACTTTTTTATATATATATATATATATATATATATATATATATATATATATATATATATATATATATATATCGTTTTATATATATATATACATATACATATATATATATATAGATACATATATATACACACACACGTGCACACACACATATATATATAAACACAATATATATATATATATGATATATATATGATGGTACCGTACAGGTTACATGTTCGATTTCTGTCGGAGGATGCATATTTTCTATGAAGATTTCTCGGACATTCAGGCCGGTAAATGTTCTGAATACTGCTTATCATAAACAGAGCATTTACTTAAATATTTGTATTTATAAAAACATAAAAAATGTCTTAAATAATTGTCGGACTCTTTCTGCATTTCATAATATATAGATAAATCTCTATATCGTTTTTTTTTATTTATTTATTTTATATATATATATATAATTATTTATTTAAAAATTATAACATATCTATGTTATTAAATCACTACAAAAATAGCCATTTTGTTTCACTTGACCACCAGAGGTGGGGAAACAAAATGGCTATTTTTGTAGTGATTTTATAACATAGATATGTTATAATTTTTAAATAAATAATTATATTCGCTCTACTCTGTATTGAGCACTCTTTTAAGAATAGTAATTGTAAGTTATTGGAATTTATTCCGTATACACCAATCATATACTTGGGTATATATATATATATATATATATATATATATATATATATATATATATATATAGATAGATAGATAGATAGATAGATATAGATATAGATATATGGGAAAAAGATATATAATTTTTTTATATATCAAATACAATTTTAGAGAAAACAACTTGAAGAGTTAATTTACTCTATCACCGATAATAATTGCCCCAAGGAATACATCGGAGAAACCTCAAGTTGTTCACCATAATGAGTCGGGCCATAATTTTGGTTTTAAAGATACTATTCTAATTAAAATAAGCAGAAATTTACGATGGTCATCTTTTAACAAAATGTGTGATATTTAATAATAAAAGTATTGGAAAAGAGAACCTAAAAAGAAATTAAACGAAATCGGCCAGACTAGGTTCACAAAACATATATTTAAAACAAATTATATTTCAATTTTAAATTCTCAGCTGACAATTTTTTCATGCGCACTTCTAGTTGCATAAACCTAAACATTACTTTAGTCCGATGAAGAGCTAAAGGAAGCAATTACTCACGCGAAAACCTTTGCATTTTGTCATATATATATATATATATATATATATATATATATATATATATATATATATATATATATATATATGTGTGTGTGTGTGTGTATGAAAAGTGTATACAAATACAAATAAATATATATATATATGTATAATTATTTATATATTATATGCGCGGTACTTATTAGAAAGCGTTCAATATCAGAGATAGAGCTAACATATTTGGTTGGATAGATGTGAGTTTGTGACCCTGGGTTTCACGCTTTAGCGATCGCCAGACAAAACGTGAAACCCAGGGTCACAAACTCACATCTATCCAACTAAAATATATATATATATATATATATATATATATATATATATATATATATATATATATATATAGATAGATAGATAGATAGAGTGACTTTCCTGAGTAAACGTTTCCGCTGACACGAAGTATAAAGATTTTATTGAATCAAATTGCTAAGTTTGCTGCTAGGTATATTATTACACTGATAGACAATTTTCTCTAAAGAATCTATCTTACATATATATGCCCACGATTCGTGCGTGCTTTTGAATATTGCTGCCACATCAGGGATCGTGCTTCTGGTATGTATTTAAAGATTCTTTAAAAATTACAAAGAAGAATCTGCAATATTATTAGTACTGGCCTGGTATCACTTTCCCACTGCCGTAATATAAATTCCCTGTGCCTTTTCAATAAATATTTTCATTCTCATTGAACTTTCCTCTACGATACCTAGTCTTTATGAATTTATCCCAGTACTAGATTGGCGGCAAGGTCTTATCATCTCACAGATGAAATGGTTAGATATAACCGGAAGTTCCAACAATTTTGTCGGACTTATCGCATGTGAAACTCTCTTCTATTTTCTTGCTTCCTATTCAACTATGAACTTCAAAAGTTTAAGTGTAATGTCAATCGTTATCAACTGTCTTCTTAATTCTTGTTCTTTTTTTGTTGTTGTTCCCTCTACTTAATAATTTTTTTTCTAATATTCTATCACGTTCTGTAAAGCCTTGCATCTCAGTAGCTTTATTGGCTGCTCAGACGCAAAGAGTTACTGAGTTTTAGAGAATATGAGAAACATATATTATTGAGGATATACGACAATAAAAGAACAAAAATTAAGAAGACAGAAGGTATCGATTCATTAAAATTTTTGAAGATTCAAGTTGACAGGGAAGCAAGAAGCCAGAAGAGAGTTCCACAAGTGAGAAGTGTGATAGACGAAGCTGTTAGAACAGAACATACGGTTATATCTAGCCATTTCACCTGTAAAAGGATCAGACCTTTCCACCAATCTAGTACCGCGATAAATTCCTCAAGTCTATGCATCATAGAGGAAAGTTCATCAAAACAATTACCATGAATGTATTTATAGAAAAGGAACAGGAACGTTACGGCAGTGGGAAGGCGACTGAAGCCGAGATGTCAGTTCAGGACCAATAACATTGCCGATTCTTTGGATATTATCGAGAACCTCTAAATATATAGCAGAAGCACCAGACGAGATGTGGCAGCAATAGTCAAAGCAATGACCAATGGTAAACTTACAAATGAGGAGAGAAATTGTTTGGCGCGACACATTGAACCAACATTTTTTTTAGCTGCAGATCGAGCAACTGAATCAAATAGTCACTCTAATTCATGTCAGCAGAAAACTGAAGACCAAGAAGATGCAATAAGTCGTTTATTATAATGTCGTCTTTATTACTGTCAATATCTTATTTAATATTTTAGTATATTAATCAGTATGTTATTTACTTACCATCGCTGTTTTACTATCTCATCTAGTTGCTATCATTTTCTTACTACTTTCTATCTTAGTATCTTACACTCCACATCAAATATTAGGTTGGTGCAAAAATAATGACGTAAGAATGTCATTTTTTAACGTAGAAAAGTACGTCAAAAAACGCCATTATTAATAAAAAAGGATTTGAGGTTGTATTGAACGGGATTATATCTGATGTTTTCCCCTCAACTTTGTGTTATCAAGTCAAAAACTTGCACTGAAATAAACTTTTCGGCACAAATCGAAATTATTGTTTTTTTTTTTCTAGTATTTTATTTATTATATCTATTTATTTATTGTAAATTTTATTTTAGAGTTAAAAAGATTTGACGACAATTAAACGTACGTAAAATATTTGTCATAAATGAAGAAGGAATGAAAAATTGTTTTGCGTTTTTTTTTTATCAGTTTATTAATTTAGAAAATTCAATAATTAGAATTGCATCGATTTTTTTACTGACCGCTATAGTCGAGCTAATTATTTTAGATCAAAGCCCCGAGACAATCAAAAATTTATCTCTTCGTCTCTCTGCCCCCCCCCCTCTCTCTCTCTCTCTCTCTCGTTATTCTATCTTCTTTTTCTTCTTTTTCTAAACATTGCTCATACTCTCTCTTCTTATGTTCACTCACAAGTGTCTATTTTGTATCATTTATTTTTATCTTCTCTCTTTTTAGTCTTACTTCTTTCCGGTCTTTCGCTGATATTTTTTTCTTCTCTCTGTCCTTCTCTCTCTCTCTCTATCTTTCTCTTTCTCCCTCTCTTCTTTCTCTCTTTTCTCTCTCTTCTCTCTCTCTCTCTCTCTCTCTCTCTCTCTCGTTGGGTTATCTTCAACAATTCACTCTCTTCGTCGCCCCCATTCGTTTATTTATGCTTATTGAAACCTCACCTATTTTTTAATCTATCGCATATACGTTTGTAACTCTTTACACTTTCGCTTTCTTACCGAAACCTCTTCAGAAATTGCGTTTTACGCTTTTCTCTGTCTCTCTGTCTTTCTCTATCTAACTGTTCACATCTATCTATCTATCTATCTATCTATCTATCTATCTATCTATCTGTCTGTCTGTCTATCTATTTGTATATATATATATATATATATATATATATATATATATATATATATATATATATTGTGTGTGCATTAGGCAGCATTTTTTCATTGATGCATGTTTCATTAAATAATATAAAGTTTTGTCTATTTATTTTATGTAAATTCTTTTCATATCGTCTGATAAGCTTAATAACATTATCATTGAAAGACGAAACAAAAAATAATAATATATAGATAGATAGATAGATAGATAGATAGATAGATAGATAGATAGATAGATAGATATTGATGCATGTTTTATTAAATAATACAGACAGGTTTTGTCTATTTATTTCAAGTAAATTCCTTTCATATTGTCTGATAAGCTTAATAACATTATTGAAAGATGAGAGAAAATCACCATGTTGAGACATGTTTTTTTAATTCTATCTAATCTTTCGGCTTACATAAGCCATTACCAAAGATGACAATTACATTACAGTAAATTAAACAATACACCGACAAAACAATAATGATAATTTTTTCTATGGTGAAATAGTAAATTTGTTATTATTTATGTTTATAAATATGTCAAAACTACCAGCATAAATTCACTTACCTACAAGAGTGAATGTCCATATTACTACAAAATACCAATTATAAAAAATCTAATACATCGTGCAGAAACTAATTTATATTTAATATATATATATATATATATATATATATATATATATATATTATTTTTATAAAAAAAAAATTATAACATAATATGTTATAAAATCACTACAAAAATAGCCATTTCGTAATATTAAAAAGAATTTATTCTAACCAATAATTATTAAATTATATGATAAAATTAGATATTAAAATTAAAAACCGCCAATTTTAAAATCCGAATTTAATCACTCTCAAGTTTAAAAACTATAAAACTAATGAGGAGAAAAGAAAACATACATATGTTATTCAATTTATTTCTTATTACCCGTATTTTAAAGATCTGAATAGCTATTATAACATGATTTCGTTGTCAAGCTTTTGAATCTTCCTATACTTGGGTTTTGATTGGTAATTCTAGCTTTTGTAACAATGCTTTTTCTCTAGCGTAGGATCGTTAATTAATTTGAAACTTTTAAAACCATTTATTTTATATTCAACATCATCACTTGATAAGACACCAGAGGGTGTTGAAACAAAATGGCTATTTTTGTAGTGATTTTATAACATATTTATGTTATAATTTTTTTTTTAATAAAAAATAATTATATCTGATCTACTTTGTATTGAGCACTCTTTTAAGAATTAGTAACTGTTGGTTATTGGAATGCATTCGTATACACCAATTATATACTTGGAGATATATATATATATATATATATATATATATATATATATATATATATGATTCTTTCATCTACCTACTTAAGAAGACCTAAAGGTCGAAACCTGTGTAGCGTGGTAGCTTGAATTTTGCTGTCCCTAATTACATTTGTTTCTACAGTCCAAATTTTCCGGATTTTGTATTGAGCGCTTTTTTGGATTGCACCTTCTTAAACGCGACTTTTTGCAATATATTTGTTGAAACTTGACTAATGCATGGAATAATAATGCAACACAAAATGTACTTATAACAAAATGTATTGAAACAAGAAAGTGTACACAATATTTACATATAGTCTTTTGTATATTCCTGGTAAGACCATTCCTGGAGAATGTGTTGACAAAGTCGCAGTCGGGCAGAGTCTCTGGATTGAATCTCTTGATTCCTTCCCTCGCCTTCCCGGTACCAACCATATTTATATGGTCGGTACTCCACTATGCAAATTAGGTGGATCCTACCACAACAATATTATTTTACATTTTATATTGTATTCTAAATTGATGGACGCCTAGCCACTGACGAGCTGTGTTACAGCGAAACAGTCTGTCTGTGGATGACAATATATATATATATATATATATATATATATATATATATAATAATTTTTTTATAAAAATTATAACATAAGTATGTTATAAAAATCACTACAAAAATAGCTATTTTGTTTCAACACACTCTGTGTCTTATCAAGTGATGATGTTGAAAATAATTTTTTTTTATTTTATTTTCAACATCATCACTTGATAAGACTCAGAGTGTGTTGAAACAAAATGGCTATTTTTGTAGTGATTTTATAACATACTTATGTTATAATTTTTTTATAAAAAATAATTATATCTGCTCTACTTTGTATTGACCACTCTTTTAAGAATAGTAATTGTTGGTTATTGGAATTCATTCCGTATATACCATTTATATACTTGGATATATATATATATATATATATATATATATATATGTGTGTGTGTGTGTGTGTGTGTGTGTGTGTGTGTGTGTGTGTGTGTGTGTGTGTATACATTCTTTTTTATAGAGTCAAATATGATATACATTCAACATCATCACTTGATAAGACACCAGAGGGTGTTGAAACAAAATGGCTATTTTTGTAGTGATTTTATAACATATTTATGTTATAATTTTTTTTAAATAAATAATTATATATATATATATATATATATATATATATATATATATATATATATATATATCAGCCTATTCATATCTATCTATCTCTTTATCTAACTTAGTCTTTCCCTACCGATCTCACAATTTCTCTCTCTATATCTATCTCATACTGTTCCTATCTCTATCACTATCTATCTATCTATCTATCTATCTATCTATCTATCTATCTAAATCTGTTCAGATCATAATATGATCAACATAACTCTCTCAGTGTGATCTCATCATACTACCTCAATTCATATCTATCTATATATATATATCAGCCTATTCATATCTATCTATCTCTTTATCTAACTTAGTCTTTCCCTACTGATCTCACAATTTCTCTCTCTATATCTATCTCATACTGTTCCTATCTATCTATCTATCTATCTATCTATCTATCTAAATCTGTTCAGATCATAATATGATCAACATAACTCTCTCAGTGTGATCTCATCATACTTCCTCAATTCATATCTATTTATATATATATATCAGCCTATTCATATCTATCTATCTCTTTATCTAACTTAGTCTTTCCCTACTGATCTCACAATTTCTCTCTCTATATCTATCTCATACTGTTCCTATCTATCTATCTATCTATCTATCTATCTAAATCTGTTCAGATCATAATATGATCAACATAACTCTCTCAGTGTGATCCCATCATACTACCTCAATTCATATCTATTTATATATATATATATCAGCCTATTCATATCTATCTATCTCTTTATCTAACTTAGTCTTTCCCTACTGATCTCACAATTTCTCTCTCTATATCTATCTCATACTGTTCCTATCTATCTATCTATCTCTCTATCTAAATCTGTTCAGATCATAATATGATCAACATAACTCTCTCAGTGTGATCTCATCATACTACCTCAATTCATATCTATTTATCAAAGTCTCTTTTCTCTGTTCAATATCCTCTCTGTTCCTCGATGTCTTTCATCTTTACCCTTTCCCTTTCTTTATTCTTTCAATATCTTTCTATTACTCTTTCTTTCTCTTTAAAACCAATCTGCTGACATAATTTTTTTCACACTCCTGCAAATTATAGATGACTCGATGACAATATTGAAGAAAAAAAAAAGTCAATTAGACAAGTACAAAGAACTGAATCTAAGGGATGGGCTTTTTCTTTCAAATATTATTTTCTACCATCTGATGAACTATTTATTTGGCTCAGCCATTTCAGGCATAATATTCTTCCAGTATACTTTCATATACTTAAAGGTTACCTATTCCGCATGAACTAATTTATTGCATTCTACCAGTTCCATATAGGAAAAACTTTCAGTAAAGTACTGGTTAACGAGCTAATCGAAGAATAGAAAATATTAAGCTATATTTGCTATCCAGAGAGTTTGGCTTTTATTGCATATAAGACGCACTCCTGTATAAATTTAATAAATATCAAATGAAAACTTTGTTATACAGGGTGTTTCAAAAAATTTGATATCCTTTGAGATGTAAATATCACAGAAAGTACATGATTAAGGCAAATGAAATTAAAAAGTATTAATGCTGAAGATCATAAGATTTATTCTTCCAAATCTGAATGAGAAATTCAAAAGCATGTGGATTATGTGAACACACAAAACGCCTTTTTCTCTTCTAGTAAATAGCATTTTTATACCTGTAAAGAAAAAGATTAAAGATTAAAGAACCTAAAAATACAAATAAGAAAAACACAAAAACATAAAGACATAAAAACATAAAACAAACATTAAACATAAAGATGCTATTAAAATTTGAAGTCATTTGAAGGAGATCTAACAAAGTTATTAGATTGCGAAATGATATCAAATTTTTTGAAACACCCTGTATATTCATGACGGTCGTCTTCGAGTATAGAATCCAGAGGTTAGCAGTGAATATTTCGGAGACAGTAGGAAACCGTAGTTTAGGTTAGCAGTGGATATCGCAGCAAAGTAGCAGAGCGTAGTACTTCCTTCTGTTCATCTTCGCCTGACAAGTTGGCACTGGTCATTCGGGTAGGTTAAACAAAAATGTCCGCCTTTATACACGACGGATAGAATGTTCTGCGGCTTCTGATTGGTTAACCTTCTATAGGTAGACTATAAAGGAAGTTAAGTCAATTGGATTGGCTCACTAGTTACATATACACAAAAAACTGTAACAAACTTTGAATCTTATCTGATGCAAGTTTAATTTATTTAATATATTTAAAATTAAGCACGAGGCATTATATACACTATTAACATTATTCGAACTATTGTCCGCATCTTTGTCGCCATATTTATTACAATGTTTCGACCGTTGTACGCTCCGGCCTTCTTCAGGTAGTTGGAATGTCGAACTGAAGCCTTTATTTTCCCTCTGGGCTAGACTGTTCTAGTTCAACGTGCCATGTCTAATGGATGTCAATTATCATTTATCTCCTGTTAATTCCCCTCTCCAAGTTCTCCACCATCTTAACCAGGTATTGAATTCACACTGCCTTAATTGTGCCTTAAGAACACATGGCACAGTAAAGGCAATGGAGAACCTGGAGAGGGGAGTTATCAGCAGGTAACTGATAACTGACATCCATTATATATGACACGTGGAACTAAAACAGTCTACCCCTGTGAGGGAAATAAAGGGTTCAGTTCGGTATTCCAACCACCTGAAGAAGGGCGGAGCGTACAACAGCCGAAACGTTCTAATAAGTATGATGATAAAGTTGAGGACAATAGTCTGAATAATGTAAATAGTGTATTTAAAATTTAATAAAATTATAATTATCATATTGCGCCGCGGTAGATTACAACTTTACATGACATTTTCTTCGTGTAAATTTAATTCATTTAGAATTGCTTAGGCCGAAAAGATTTAGCCTACACAATTTCACTCACAAGGCTCAAATAAGGCCATGGTATAATTTTCAATAACTTCCGATAATTTCACTGTTTCCATTTATAGTTTCAGTTTGGCAACGTTAGTTACGATCTTATTTTCTGCTGTGTTCGTAATAACCATTGTTTTCGTCTGCCATGTCATATTCCACAGATTAGTCGAGAGGAGCGGAAAAAAATTTACGGTATTATCTAAATAGTTAAAAATTTTCAATTCAATTTTTAAAAAGTCCCGAATTCTTTAATCAATAAAAGCATAAGTTTTCTGGGTTAATTATGGTTATTGTAATACTAACATAAGAAAATAATTAAAATGTTTCTCCCATGGTCAGTAGATGCCTAGAATAAGAAATTCAAAAGCATACTAACAAAAGGTAGCTTCAGAAAATAGATGTCTGGCTGAAAATGTTGAAATTTTAGAAAGGTAAGAAAAATCGTCTGATAAATAATATTTTTCTGTTTGTGGAACAGGTGGTTTGTTAGTAAATAAAATCTGTAATAAATACACAAGAAGATATTTTAATCTGAGCCAAATAATGTATTTAGGTAGTGTTCCGGCAACATTCGATGCACCATGCAATGTTTTTCTTAATATTCTCTACCGAAAAATCCGAATTGCTCTCATATTCCAGTGGGTCTATTATGTCATACGATAATTCACAGGTATGTTCTGTGTAACATTTACAGGCCGTCAAATGACTCTTCTAGACTTCAAATTTGCATCTGTATTTCATATAACAATGAAAAAAAATTTACTCACACAGGTCGACAGCAATTTTTTTTTTCCCGAAGAACTTTTTTTTTTTCTTAAAATGTCGAATAATTGTGTTTCCTTTCCGATTATGGCGTTTTCATTTCACTTGGCGGTTTCCCAGAATCAAATACTTTGACATTTTCGTCAGGAGAAAAGCCAGACAGCGGCAAAGTAATAATATTTTTGTGTCAGAACTAAATAATAATGCCAAAAAAAAAAAAAAAAAAGAAAAACTAAATATGGAGGGAAGGCTTCGTATTCTGACTTTTCTTGTGTGTAATGATTTCACATATAATCTACTGGGGCTGGTAATTGTATATCGTCTCCATCGACGTGGTCAAAAGTATTGATTCAAATTTTCCCTTTTCAAATTGCATTCGTACGAGACAGTGATAGATGAGTAAAGGGGTCAAAGGTAAAGCCAAATTAATGAATTTTTAAAAACGGCTAAAAATCAAATATTGCGATAAAAAGCAACGTAAAGGGGAAGAACAAAGCCAAAATATATATATATATATATATATATATATATATATATATATACAGAGAGAGAGAGACAGAGATTAATATACATGATAAATATTTTTTAAGTTATACTGTGTTTATGGGTAAAAGTGTTCAAAATCAGAGATACAGCGTATGTAAATAAAAGTGAATATTGAGGTCAACACCACTTATATATATATATATATATATATGTGTGTGTGTTGCCAAATTTTACATTTACATAAGTTCTATCCCTAATATATATATATATATATATATATATATATATATATATATATATATATATATATATATAACTCTGAATTCAAAACCTGCGGAGGGTCGTTTGGGAACCTTGTGGCATTCGGTGCACCAGGTCTCTGTATTCGTCCCTTCAAAAAAGCGTAGATGGTCCTGCACGAAGCCTTCACCATTATAATCAAATCTCATGTGCCGGTGTCGGGCTGTCGGTTTCTGAAACTGATCTGCTTGACCTCATACGTCGAATCTCGACGGGAGAGTCGATTATATATAGATAGATAGATAGATAGATAGATAGATAGATAGATAGATAGATAGATAGATAGACAGAGAGAGAGACAAAGTGTGAGAGAGAAAAATGATAGAGAGAAAAAGAGTGAGAGAGAGAGAGAAAAAAATGTGTGAGAGAGAGAGAAAAATGTGAGTGAGAGAGAAAGAGAGATAGAAAAAGAGTGTATGAGAGGGAGAGCGACAAAAAGTGTAGTGAGAGAAAGCGGGTGAAAGAGAAAGGGTGAGAGAGAAAAAGTGTTAAAGAGTAAGAGAGATGAAAAGTGAGAGAGAAAGATAAAAAGAGAGAGAGAGAGTGAGAGATGGTATTCGGGCGTGTGTATAGTTTAATATTTGCTATATTTATAGCACCTCAATATCGTAGGTAGAGCGTTTTTAGATATCGGCAATGGAGACATAGAAATCAACATTTCATGGTGATTTAATAATTTGAAAGCGAATTTTGGAATTCGCTTGGAAATGGAACAAAACTAGGGACTTTAATTTAATTCTATTATTAAATTTGAAGTTTTTAGCTTCTGGTTTTGAAACATGCTAATTCCTGTGTAGCGATGGAACCATATTTTTAAATAAGTAAATTTATAATATTCATGCTTTGTAGATTTGCATTGAGTACAGTTTTGTAAAAATAAAAATATTAATAAGAATGCCGGATTATATATCTTACTGTTCTTTCTTTTTTTTATATATATATATATATATATATATATATATATATATATATATATAGAAAAAGTTGCAAATGAAAAAAAATAATAATGTTTTATTTTATGAAATTATTTATTTATATATATATATATATTTGATATTTCAGATTGCCTCAATATTTTATCAGAATAACTGTTTGTTACAAATAAATTAAAATTACTTTGTAACAAACAGTTATTTCTTAATAAATACTTTCTTAAAATAAAACATTATTATTTTTTAATTTGCAACTTTTTCTATATATACGTATTAAGAAAGTATACGTGGCTTCTCATTATATATATATATATATAAGTGAACATTGAAGTCAATGCGATTGCGTCGAGCATGAAACAGTTTGTCGCCTCTGAGTGTTGACTTCAATGTTCACTTTTATATTTATATTTACATACGCTCAATCCCTAATTTTGAGCACTTTATCCCATAAATATAGCACACTTTAAAACTACATTTCAGCATATATATATATATATATATATATATATATATATCTTTCTACATATTTTTTCATGCTCATTAACTGTAAAACCCTTTCTTCTTGATTTTCAGTGATTCCTCCACAATAAAATCATTAGTAATATGTTCGTAATAATGCCTATAATAGCTAAATAATACTCTTAGCATAGCTCTTAATTATCGATCATTGATATCAAGAAATGGCTTTCGAAGCTTTCATATAGAATTTTTCTTTTCTTTTTTTTTAAGCGTTTCACCCCAAGCAAGGCCTAAAGCCACCAGCACGCAAGTGGTTATAGAGGATTTGGAGCCAGAGCAGGTAGGAATGATTGAGGAAAGGATGAAGAGAGGGATAGTGGATAGCTCAAAGCAACTGGAGATGTCGATTGACATCACATTTGAATAGTTGGAGATTACAGCTATCAGGGAAACAGCAATAGGGAAGGGAGTTCCACAGGCGAGAGGTGCGAGATATGAATCTATTGGAGTAGAAGAGGCGGCTACATTTAATCGTTTCAACGGTGAAAGGGTGAAAGCGGGATGCCAGCCTCGTGAGGCGCTGGAACTCGTGACGTCTGGGAACCAGCGAGTGCAGCTCCTCGGAGCAATTACCATGAAAGTATTTGTAAAAAAGACATAGAGAGGCGACGGCGCGTCTTTGAGAAAGTGACTGTAGACGAGATGCCAAAACAGGGCCAATTGTATTGCATATCCGCCTCTGGAGCCTATCGAGAACACCGAGGCAAACAGAAGGGGCTCCAGACCATATATGGTAGCAATACGCCATGCAAGAGCGAATGGTTGATTTGTAGATTTGAAGGATCGACTCCGGGGAGCCAACTTTCCTTGCGGTGGACGAAGCAATTGACTCAATGTATTTGTTCCATCTCAGGTCAGTAGACAACGTGAGACCGAGCAGCCGCAGAGAGTTGCTCTCGAGAAGTTGAGCGTCAGGCATTCTAATGGGTGGGTGGGTGTCACGGAAGGATCTCTGTGGTGATTAATAGAGAGCAGTTTTGTTTTTGAGGCGTTAAAGTCAACCAGCCAATTCCTGCCCTAGTTCACAACCGATTGGAGGTCCTTTTCGAGATGAACGGCCAGGTTAGTTTTGTCAGCGACACTAGATTTGTTTTTGAGGCAGGAGTAAATTGTAGTGCCGTCCGCGTAGGTGCCTTAAGGTATTCCTGTTGTAAAATTATTTACAAGAAATTATCTAATAAAGTTATTGGCAATGTATTTATATCAGATGAAATCATAGTCTGTTCGTAGTGCTTGGCTGAAATCCTGGCTGCTGATCCTTCTTTCGAAAGGGATTTTTTTCGATAATTCCCGATTTGAAAAGCACAGAATACACTGTGCCAAATCTTACTAAAATAAATTTTAGTTTAAAACTTTCAAAACTAAATAATTCAATTATAAATAATTAATACCACTTTTAGATGTTAAAATTAATTTGGTAATTTTCCTCAATATTAGGCCTCTGGAAGTGTTCGCTTTTTTGCACCAAGACATACACTCGGTAAGAGTGGGCAATCGCAAAATTTCTTGTGAGCAAAGCCGAAATGAAAAGTGAAGTTAATATTTTGCATATTAGTTATGAGAAGAAAATTAAATTAAATAATTAATATTTTTAATTATATTTTAAAGTGTCTCTTCACAGACTAAAAGCAGCTTTGAAATCAATGCTAACTTCCTACGTTCGTTTTCATAATTTCATTATGTAATGTTTATTTTAATATTCTAGCCGACATTTTAGTGGAATTTATTTAACTCTTATCCACATAAAATGGTTGTAAAAATATATGGATATGTATGCTATGTATTTATAAATTCATGGTAAAATACAAGAGAAGAATCTGTAATGTTATTGGTCTTGACCTGGTATTTCAGCATTAGTCCCTCAGTCACCGCCGTAACGTTGCTTATCTGTCCCTCATGGTAATTTTTAATGTGAGCTTTCTTCTATGGCTCCTAGACGTTACGAATTTAATACTCGATTGGCAGCTAGGTCTCATTGTCTTCTAGTTAAAATGGCTAGATGTAACCTTGAGTTCTATACGAACAGTTTTTTTTTCGCACTTCTCAGTAATTCCTGTTCTTTTATTGTTTCCTCTCCTTTTATATTTTTTAATATTCTTTCACATCGGTAACCTCTTGCGTCTTAGTGGCTTTACTGCCTTACTTGCATTGAAATGATTAAAAAAAAACACCAGGGGAATAAAGTACTCTGCTTTATTTGACGGATTATATATCCTAACACTTGGGTGTCGTCGGTGGTTGTACTTGCACGAAGTCACAAGTCATCGTGACCGAGGTTTTTTTTAGCGTGCTGGCCTTGTTCAGACTGGTGATCACGCTGGATAACGTTCCCTCTCCCAGAAACTGTAACTAAGGTCAGCTCATTATAGTCGTAGTATAGACCACAGATGGGCTCTGTGGGCGTTGAACAAACACAAAATGTGCCTGAGCAGGCGTCTTCAGTGGGGATTAGCTACCCGTCCAAGGAGGCTGGCATCCTTAGATACGAGTGGTTCCGTCATTTACATATATCCTAACGAACATATCATATTTTGTATATACTACATGTTATAACAAGTTGAATATCCGTCTTTTCATATCAGGTCTGGCATATTGTATTTTTTTTTATATCACAGGATACTACCCGTCATATAATGATGCATACATCCTACTTTTCATATCATTGGCTGTATATCCAGGGGTTATAAACTTATATCATATCACGTTCTTTTTATTACTCTTATTAGAAGTCATTAACTCTATTCTACATACCGTGGTGTGTATATCGTATTTAATATATCAACTATTCGTTATATCAGAGTATGTATATCCCATACATCATGTCAAAACTGTATATTTTAATCGCTATATAATGGATTATAAATCCTATTCGTCTAATCAGGAGTTATATATTGTGATTGTATAAGCTATTCTTTATATCATGGGTTAAATGTAGAGTTCTTCATATCAGGGGTTGTATATGTTTTTCGCCATATCACGTGTTCTAAATCTTATTAGGTACACCAGGGTTACATATATTCATTATACCACAGGTTATAAATTATATTCGTTGTATCGGGTTTTATATATCTAGTTCATATTATCAAGAGTAGTATATCCTATTTGTCATATCATGTGTTATCAATCATATTTAATCCTAACGGCAGTTGTCTATCCATTTCATCATATTAGGTGTTGAAGTTTCAGCTCCTGATATCAGCGCTTGTACAGCTATCTCTATGCCACTGGCTGTTATTCGTACTGTTTCTATCATAGGTTATAAATCCTGTTCGTCGTATAATCTTATTCGTGATATCAGAAATATTTGATGTTTGTCATATCACGCATTATATATCTTACTCTTCATATAAGGGTTTGTACATCTTATTCCTCTTATCACTGGCTATGAATTTTACTCCTCATAACAGTGTTTATTTATTCTACTCTTTATACAATATAAAAAATAAATCGTACTCTTAATATTGGGGTTTGTATATGCTATTCTATATTAGTCATTCACCATTTCACGGCTATAAATCCTTCCCAGCTAATCATCTGTGGTATATCCTACACTTTTTTCTTCTTCTTCTTCTTCTTCTTCTTCTTCTTCTTCTTCTTCTTCTTCTTCCGCGTGTCGTCACCCTTCAGAACGTTTGCTATCCATAACTTTCTACCCTTTGTAGTAAGTTTTGTCTTTTTGCTATCTTACCTAATCCTTGTTCTGTCATCTATTTGCACAAACTCGTTGGGTAGGTTATTCACTGTTTTTCTGTCCCTCTTACCAACAACATACCCTGTGATTTTCTGATTCTCCGAGCCGTCTTTCCTCATTATCTATCTTAAAACATTTCGATTTTTATCTTTCTGATTTCAAGTATGAGTATCCTTTGTATTTCTGTTTTTATTAAAACTTCCTCGATATTCACAAGTTCAGTCCATGATATTTTCAGTATTTTTCTGTTGATCCACATTTCCGTTGTCTCCAGTTTCTTCATCTGTGAAGGGACAGCCACTTTCATATAGGAAGACGGATATTACATAACGGTTCAGTATACTTTTTCTTTTCTTTTTTCTAAGGCAATGTTCATCTTTCTTAATACATTCGTTAGCTTTTGGAAGGCCTTTAACTATCTCAATCCATCGATGGATTTCAGTGTCGCATTTTCCGTCCTCTGTAAAAACATTTCCATACTGGTAATATATCCTTCTCAACATATCGCAGGTTTTAAATACTTAACTTTTCTCTGGTCCCAAAGTGTTCCCATACTTACCTAAACAAAATAGACCAAACCCGGATATAAGAGAAACTAGGATATAAGAGACTTTTCTCCGGTCCCGACAACTCTCTTATATCCGGGTTACACTGTATATATATATATATATATATATATATATATATATATATATATATATATATATATATTATGAAATGGACAAAGACCGACAATTATTTTAAGAGATTTTTATGTTTATACATTCATTTTTTTATGGATACAAGTAAATGCCCTGTTTATAATAGACAGTATTAAACAACATTTACCGGCCTGAATGTCCGAGAAATTTTCACAGAAAATATTCGTCCTCCGAAAAAAAAAAAAAGAATGTTAAACATAAAAATATCTTAAAATAATTGTCGGACTTTGTCCATTTCATAATGAGTGACGTCATTTGTTTACATTTGATACGCCATGAGCAGATATGAATGTACGTGAGAGATTCATCGAAGATTAAAGTTTAAATACAGTAAATTCGACTTGGCCAACTGTACGCTCCTCTGTGGCCAAATTGGTTAAAGCCACGTCAAGCGAACTGACGATTTCGTATAGGATACAGGTTCGAACCCCGTGGATATTTTTTTTTTTTTTCGGAGGACGAATATTTTCTGTGAAAATCTCTCAGACATTCAGGCCGGTAAATGTTGTTTAATACTGTTTATTACAAACAAAGCATTTACTTAAATATTTTTATCTATAAAAAAAATGTATAAACATAAAAATGTCTTAATATATATATATATATATATATATATATATAACGAAATATACTCTTAAGGTATGTTATATTTATTGGATAAAGTGCTCAATATCAGAGATAGAGCGTGTGTAAATATAAAAGTGATCACTGAAGTCAACACTTAGAGGCGACAGGCTGTTTCATGCTAGACGCAATCGTCAGGCCACGATTTTTATTCTGTATAAAGAATAGAATAAATTACCACTGTGGCCTGACGATTGCGTCTAGCATGAAACAGACTGTCGCCTCTAAGTATTGACTTCAATGTTCACTTTTATATTTACACACGCTCTATCAATCTATCTATCTCTCTCCCTCTCTCTCTCTCTCTCTCTCTATATATATATATATATATATATATATATATATATATATATATATATATATATATATATATATAATATTTTGGTGGCTGAGATGATTAGTTATGAAAAGCTAGTTCAATTTCCACCGGATGCGACCTGCCTGTTCCATTTTGGCAGAGTTCATTTCAGATGCCAAAGAATATATCGGCTGAAAACATTGAGATAAAACCAAATAAAACTTGATGAATCGAGTGTGGGTCATTCTAGGGTATGTTTGCGAGAAATACATGTCATCTTTCTCAGTAGCTGTAGGAGAAGATCGTGCAACCCGAGAAAGCCCTGGTTTTGCTTTACGTCCTATTCTCTTCCTTTTCGATCCCCACGTATGACATATTTTGCTTTAGGTCGATAACAATATTATATGTTAATTTATGTATTGGGCACAATAATAAAACATGACAATTTTAAGAATATAGTATAATAAAATTATGCGATGGATACAAGATTCGTTCTTAGCAACATAAGCCTATGGTATTTTTTTTTATTTCATTAAGTCATCTTCCATCTTTTCACTGAATGGAAGCGCTTTTATGTCTTCTCTTTGGTATAACCGAATTGCCAGCATCATTATCGTTGTGCTTTAGGATTGTTGTCATGTCGAGCTTATGAATTGTTAATGACACGGTTGGGGGTTGGGACAGGAAACTGAGGAAAACTAAATAGCAGATAAGAGGAGATTACTGCAATGAAGAAAGAAACATAGATATACAGTAAGTATGATAATAGAAAGATAAATATGAACATTTTCAAATACTAGCTGACTGACATTAAGATAAACAGATAGATAGATAAAGTCTGATATATAGACATACACACACACACACACACACACACATATATATATATATATATATATATATGAATGGGCTTAGGTAGATAGATATGACCAGGATGTGATTGATAGATAGATAGAGATGAACACGCTGAGATAGAGTTGTGGCCTTGTTAGGGCCAGAAATAAAGGCACAAGATAGGAATTGAGTTAAATATATTAACAGAAACTGTAATACAAACATTTACAAACGAGAGTGTTAGCAATGTTCGGTCTGACTGTCAGAGTTAACTGCTGGAAACTTCCCTCTCTAAAAGGCAGTACCTGCTCCTATTTATAGAAACTGGGCGACTTCATGAGTGCGTGGGTAAATTACCATAATAGATATATAGATAGAAGCTGCTCAGACGTTTCGGTCTAATAGACCATCTTCAGGACATATTCATAAAACATAATTAACATAGACCATATACAATTCATGAATATGTCCTGAAGATGTTCTATTAGACCGAAACGTCCGACGTTGACATTAAACATTAAAACAGCATAATCGCATATTAGGATTTTTGTTAGTTTTTTCAGTATATTTTTCTTCATACTGTCGGATCTATATCCATATATTCGCTTATATATATATATATATATATATATATATATACGGATGGCTGGATGGGCTTAGATAGATGGATATGCCCAGGATGTGATAGATAGATAGATAGATAGATAGATATGAACACGTTGAGATAAATATACACAAACACACACACACACACATATATATATATAGATAGATAGATAGATAGATAGATAGATTAAAGTGGCCGACAAATAGACACCATTTTTTCTCTATTTGTACCTTTACAATCTAAAATGTAAATGATTTACTACTTTCTTTACACCTGTTTACATCCCGAGAAAGATATTGAAAGTACTCAAATTTCATTCGCCTAGCAATAATAATAAACGAACAAAGAAAGCGTCCGAAACGTGACTGGCTGCCCGAGGTCGCCCGATGCCACCCTTCGCCTTGATCGTCTTGTGTATGTAAATCATTTGGCAATCAGTTATCACCTAATAATACTTACGTCCGATCCGCGGGGTGTCCAGACACTGTAAATTACTGACCGGTCAGCACTGGAGGTTATTGGTCAATAAGAGAGTTGCCATTTAATCACTCGTCAATGGTCCAACTGTCCGGGTACAAGCCCAGTCTCGTCTTGTAAGAGTCTCGTTTCAACTCGGATCATATCTGCTAGCAAGATTAGAAACAATGTCAGACTTATCTATTATTTTTAAAGCCGAGGGCATTTTCTTTATACAGTTCAGTGGATAAAATAAGTTTCAAATGAATTATTATTATTGCGTCTTTAAACCGGAAATAACTGGTAATTTCTTGTAAAGATTATGTGACAGCAAGTCTTTTTGATTTCACGGCAAATGTTTTAACAGAGGACGGAAAATGCGAACTACAAAGGACAGAAAGTAGTAGATAGCCAACGTTCTAAAGGGAGACGACACGCGGAACAAGAACAAGAACAAGAAAGTGTAGGATATGCCACAGATGATTAGCTAGGAAGGATTTATAGCCGTGAAATGGTGAGTGACTAATATAGAATAGCATATACAAACCCCAATATTAAGAGTACGATTTATTTTTTATATTGTATAAAGAGTAGAATAAATAAACACTGTTATGAGGAGTAAAATTCATAGCCAGTGATAAGAGGAATAAAATGTACAAACCCTTATATGAAGAGTAAGATATATAATGGTGTCGCCTGTACTGTCCTGTCTCTTTTCCAAATTCTTATTTGTTCATCCTTATCCCTAGCCTGTTTGAGAACGTCCAAGCGATAAGGATTTACAGGACTGTCAGTATCATCCTCCATCAATGTATTAATTTCCTGTCAAAGTTTAGATACGTTTTCCTTACTTATAGATTCAATCGCCCGGCTGAGGCAACAACGGTGCCCTATTCTATGAGAACACCCAGAAAAAATACCCTAATCTAAAAAAAACACACACACACATAAAGTCACTTTTCAATCCTTACGACATTAATCTGAATATGCCAGAATAAACACAATATACATCAGTATGTACAGGAGCCTTCCAACATCTGTCACCAAACGTAAGCACCAACGAAACTAGTGATAAAAGTCTATAAAAATCGAACGAAACTAGTGATACAAAGTCTATAAAAATCGCATATACATGGGCTAAGGACAAAAATTGTCCATTCCTCGCAACCAGTTGGCGCGGATATTTCACCGACCATCCACTTTAGATTCAATGAAGCAGGTACTGCCGCAATATCAGAATCTCCGCGACCAAGCATCCGTCATTTATGTGCTCAAATACAGTATATCTATAAATTTAACGTATTAACAGAAAATACATTAAATCCGATTTAATCTATTTCATTATTATAAGACAGATACTGTGCTCTGTCCGAAATTTAGAGATAAAAACAGTTTATCCACCTGAATGGGCATATCCTATACGCAACTGTCTGCACTCGTAGTAATTGAATTTACTGCTTATATTTATGCCGGTAAACTACTAAATACTTGTATCTATAAAAGGCTGACAGGTTAAGATGAAATAGATTAAACAAGGTCAGTTTAATTAGGACAGCGCTATATATTTAGCAATGAAAAACACTTTGTAAAAAAAAAAGAATTCGTGGATTTACCATGTTTAATAATATCTCTTCAAAAAAAAACAATTATTTTTTTAACTTTAGCCATGAGGATGAAAAAAGCCAACACTTAACAATATTAACTACGAACACGGCCACAATGTGCTGATTGTGTTCGGAATATAAAACATTTCTATACCACTAAAAACATACACACAACCCATACACTCAATTAAATTGATAAAATAAAATTATCCTTGATAATGGCTGAAAGTATAGCCGAAAGCGGACGGAATTATAGAACATTTGGACAGTTTCTACACACTGTGTTCAAAAAAGAAAACACTTGAAAAATTAAATAAAAACCTCAATCGTAGTACCTTGTCTGTCGTTTTTAATGAAACAATATATGTATCTGTATGTGGTGGACTCTCTTGCCGCTGACGAAAACTGAGGGCTCACTAAAATAAAGAGGTACTCAATTTTATATGGACATGCATGTGTCTACCGAGGACTGCAGACATTTTGCCGACTTTCAGGAAAAAAGACAGGTGGAATTGGTGAGACTGACGAAAGAAAATGGAACCAGTTGCGAGAAATAAGGAATCAAAGAACAAACGTTTGAAAATTTGGCAAACGAGGTTGAAAAGTAAACATCAAATTCGGAACACAATATGTAGTTGATCTATTTCGCTCGAGTGTTTGAGAATCATTTGCCACATGTTTCCGCGAGTGGACAGCAAGGCCTGCTTTACTTCATGTACCAAAGCCACAGTGGCAGGTTGGGCTATCACTGAGAGGGGCATCATGCTACCAACTTACTTTAATATTTGCATGCAGTTGATCCTGAGGTTCAAGTACTTATTAGCAATGTTTTTGTTTTCTAATTCTTCCACACCCAAAGCCTTTGCTCAAATCTTTTTATATAAACAGATGAGAAAGCAGCACAGGCGCACGTTATATATATATATAGATCCTTCCTTCCCTCTGGCTTCCCATAAAGGAAAGCGGATGTTGAATTGCTTCCGTTTGTCTTTGAGTTTGTCTTTGAAACGCAAGAGTGGCCTTTCAACTGACCTGTTTGTTAGAAGCTGGTCAAATAGGAATCGCTTTGGAAGTCTGCTATCGCTTTTACCTAAGTTGGATTTTCATGAGGATGGCTTTAATATCTGCCATGTTGTATTTAGTCAGAACTTCACTGTTTCTAATACGACCACACAGTTTCCTTATGTTGATTGTGCGTAGGCAACGCATGTGAAAGTAACCAATTTGATTGAAGCGTCGTCGGTACATAGTCCTTGATTCTGCACGACAGAATAGGGGTGCCAGTAGTACTGACTTTTACACATCAATCTTCATCTTTAACAAAATATAACGAGCATTCCAAAGCTTGTGGCAAACGTTACCGAAGGCAGAACTATCCTTTCCAATCTTGCACACAATTCCTTTGTCCATCTTAGCATCGTTGGATACAATGAAGCCAAACTAGATGACATAGTGGGAGCGACAGCTAAGAGGTGGTTACCGATAGACTGATGGAGAAGTTGCATGATGATGATCCGACTGAAAGCTTTAGAAGCACGAGATAATTTCTTATAGATCCATTGAATTTCTTGAAGTATGTGGACTATAAGTGCGCAACCATCTACAAATAGTGTTTGCCATGTTCACCATAGTCTATGAATATAGAATACAGCGCAGTACGTAATCTGTTCAATAAAACAACGTTAAAGAATAATACTCACAAGTCAGAAACTCTACTGAATCCGCCTATATCGCCAATACCACCAGCTGCTGTTCTGTAATTCTTTAGTCTTCGATATCAAAGGCTGCCAGTGAATATTCCGAAAAAAAAACATGGCCGCCTTTATACACGTCGCATTGAATATTTTGAGCCTTCTGATTGGCTAACCCTTCTATTGGTGAACTATAAAATGTGTCAGCTCATTTTGGCTGGCTCACTAGTACTGGGGTACCCAAAAATTCCAACAAATAGTTCACGGGGAGTTTGCACAATCGTTTTAGTTCATCCTTTTAAGAAATGTTGGAAGAACAACACGCCAATTGTCCTAAACACAAATCTCATATATATTCTTTAACATTCTCAAATACTGTTTCCGGCATGACTGAAAACATCGAGCAAATAAGAGAGTTGCAAAGACACAACTTTGTTTTGATCCATTAGCGACAATGAATAGATCAGGCATATCTCTACTGGATCTGAGGCCGTCATCCACCTGATGGGAGAACATGATGACACTAAGCATCCTTTCAGGAAGACTCAGCTTCCTAAGTACGATGCAAATAGCGTTATTTGAAATGGTATCAAAGACCTTAGTGAGATCAATGACATTAACAAATAAATCCTTCTCGTGTTCTCCTGTAGTTGACTCAACTACTTCTACCAGACTGAAATTAGTCCTGAGATTCAGACTGAATCGGGCAGAGAAAAGTTGAGTCCGTTAAAGATGATCCAGCCAAGATTTTTTTTCCGAGTAAAACACAGAAGAGCGTTACCTCTGTGGTTGTCACATTCACATTAATTGTCTTTATGCATATGGAGATGTACAATAGAAGCATCTTAAAACTCATGATCGTAAATCCCAGATTAAATAAAAGAGATCACAAGGTTTACGAACCAGGAGATTTCTGACTCATTTGTATGTCTGTGCTGCCTGTCATCGTAAGCAGAGGACATCCCGTTTGTCAGTTGTTTTATGGCTATTTTTATCTCAGCAATAAATGGAGTAACTGATAACCCTTCTAGAATAGGCCTCTGTGGTAAGCTGTTGAAGAGATTCTCGTTATCAATCGAATCCATGTTTAGAACTTTTGAGAAATTTTCTACTCAGCCTTTAGTGATCTCACTTCTCTCCGTTAGAAAGTTGCCATCGAAAGAAAAGATAGGTGTTGAGACATTTGATACAGATTTTCAAAGACACTCCTTAGATTCTTATAGGATTACTTAAAGTCACATCCATCAGTTACATCCTGAAATTCCCTGTGCCTTCTCTCACCACCATGCTTATTTCATTTTCCGTAGATGATGTTGGTACAGGTTTCTTGCTTTCTTGAACCCTTTGGGCTTTTGACATGGTTCTTGCCTGACGTCCATTGACGATAGTACTTGTGCATATTATCCAAAAAGAGTGAATACTTGGATCATTTCTGCGTTTCGTCCACTATTAACCCTCAATATCTATATGATGTGGAGAAATATATTGAAATACTCGTTTAATTTCCTAATTATTTCATATTCAACCCGAAACAGAAAGCTCGTCAAATATTTCAAAATAAAAGAA